AACCATTAAAATCCTGTCTCCACTGACTTGCCAGGTAGTTTTTTTAATTTTGGTCCAGACGACGAGAAGTAGAATGATACATGAAAAAGCTAAAATGAAGATGCAGATAAGTATTGATAGGTTTAATAGAATACTACTCCGTCTTATCAGTGCCCATCTGTTAAATAGAAGCTGGGGCCCTACTTTTCTCGAAGGTCGCAACTCAGCAATGCACTAGGCGAATTATTAGGGGTTTGCCACTTGGAACGCATGGCTGTTTCCTGTTATTATTACATGGAAGCATTAGAAAGAGGTCACGATAACTCAATCAAATCAAGGATATTGTTCTATAAGAGTTTATCGACTAGAGTTGGGGAGAGGTCTACCTTAGGCTCGTGAATGGTGTCGAGTTATTCATACATTGCCCCATATAGAAGACTAGACGAATTAATAATGCGCAGGATGTGTATGTGTAAATACTAGTGACAAATAGAATACAACATTCAAATATTGAAATTGTTCATCCTGATGAACTAATGAAAGGTAATTAAACTGAAAAAAATCAAGAAATGACATTATAAAATAGATAATATAAGAAATACAACAATTAGCAGTTAGTCCACTACTTAGAGTTGACTAAGACTCTTTTCAAAGCGATCAAGGAAGAGCTCGGCATGAAGGGGCTTGAAAATAAGAGCGGGTCGAAGACGCAAAGATTGGTTTCCACACCCAGCCGCCAGGACCCCGTTTTTTAGAAGGCGAGCAAGACAAGAGTCACGTTGTCTCGGACCAATATGCCCAAGAAAATCAACAGCGATGAAGGTCCCGACTCCTCTGGCGTTGCCGATTAAGATAGAATGTTTTTTCTGATTCAAATGAAACATTTAAAAGAGAGCATAGAGGTTATAAGTATAATAGTCAGGTCATTATAAGTCAGACTACAACCCATTCAAGAAAATAACACAATAAAGTAACTGTAAGTAATAAGATGTTAGCAATTAGACCTCGCAGTCTGGTCCAGACGCCAGAATTAAGCTTGCTATAGTGCAAAGATAAAAACAGTTTATACAAATGGATTAACCTCGTCGCAACTTGGCCTTTTTGTCAGGGTGACTTAAAAGGACGCACTTTGTCCGAAGTCCTCTGCCATAGTAGTTATAATAATTCTCAGCATCAGACAGTGGACTTGTTACATTCTCAGACGTTTTGCCGGCATGATCAATGAATGCTGCCATTCTCCGCAACAAGCTACGAACGCGTTAGAGACAAGCAAAATCAATCCCTCGACCAACGTTCTGCCGAAAACGGTTACACTATCACTCCTCTTTCTGTTCTGGCCCATCAA